TGTTTAAATTTGATATAGTATATATTATATATCTAATACATATAAACTATATATATATATATAAATATATATCTAATACATATAAACTATACCCAAAACTAAAAAAGCCCGTTAGGCCCACAGGCCCGACCCATTTAGCCCGGGACCATGTGGGCTTAGGACCACCGTGGGCCGGTTCCACACATTGGGACCGTTTGGCCCGGGACCGCCTCAGCCCGACCCACCTAAAGCCCAGGTCTGTTTGGACAGGCCCGTTTAGACCCGTTTAGCCCAGGCCCGGACCACAATACAACCTTAGATATATGAGTTGTAGCTTTTGTGTTTTGTCATATATCCCTCAGTCTTGTCCAATTCTCCAATTCCAAGGCTGTATTTCTTATTGAAGAAATACCTAATTTCATGATAATTCGAGTGAAGTTATTTATCATTAAATAAGCCATTTTTTTAGTGATACGAGCTAAAGGAAAGAACTACCACGAGGTTCTGACATAATTGGCTGGTCGGCACAAACTTAAGACAACCGCTAACCCATTATATTTGATTGCAAGTTATAGCCAAAAAAAATTTATATTGGCTACAACGAAACATTCGCTAACCCACCTTATTTTTTGTAAAAATTGTACGGGGCGCCTTATTTAGTCGCCCCCATTTAATCTATACCTATTTTTAAAAAAACTTTTAACTTGTACCCACTTTTTAAATAACTTCAGCTCCTTTCTCCTCCTCCTTCCCCTTTCTCCCCCTCCTTCTAATACTGGTATTGCTACTGTTGATTTAATTTATTCAACTCATCGCAATGTTTTCTCATATGTCCACCTAAAGTTTGGCCGAAAGCAAACTCTTCACCACAAAACGAACATTCATGTTTCTTAGGTTTAACAGTAGGTAACTCGTTAGGAAAAGTAGTCATCAACATGAGTTTAATAACTGTATTTTTATGACTTGCTCTGTGTACACCCAGTGCTTGAAACGAATCAAATTGTTTTTTTTTGCATGTTTTGCACTCAAAGATTTTACTACGTCCGCTTTTAGCCTGCATTTTTTTTTGGATGGAGTTTAAAATAACAAAACGAAAGACAAACAAGCAGAAGCTGAAGAAGAAAGAAAAGGATTGGAACACACAAGCACTAGAAAGAAAAGAGAACGAAATAACTTCAACTCTAGAGCTGAAGTTTCCCAGTTACAACATAAAAACTTCAGCTCTAGAGCTGAAGTTTCCTAGTTACAACACAAAAACTTCAGTTCTAGAGCTGAAGTTTCCCAGTTACAACACAAAAACTTCAGCTCTAGAGCTGAGCTTCAGGCCCGGCTACTAGAATGCTGAAGTTTTGCGTGATTGCCTTTGCTACTTCAGCCTCGTGTGCTGCAGTTATGCGAAAAAGTGGGTACGCTTGCAATTTTTTTTGCAAAGCGGGCACAAGTTAAAATGTGACACAAAAAGCGGGTATAGATACAAATGCCCTTTTTTTTATTCGGCCTCTTTGCTACACCCAGCTCCACCATCCAAACAATTATCATAACCCATCATAAATATCAATCTTTACTTTCTCAATTTGATAGTTCATATAGTAAGATTGATATTATATGCACTTAATAAATTTTATTTTTTGTCAATATATGGTTACACAGAGAGAAAAAAAAATTCGCAATACATGGCTGGCCGTTTTACTGTACATTATTTCATTGATAACGAAAAATTTTTAGTTGCCAAAAAAAAAATCAATTTTCTGTTTTGTGCCTTTCCTTTTAAGAATTGTGGAGTATACTCCTTTTCTTTGTTTTTTTAGAAATTAAATTTTTTATTTTTATAATACTACGTAAGCTCAAACATAGGATCTGGGGAGCATACTCCATTTGTTACAATTCCTAGATACACTAACAGATAATAAATAATTAAAAATTACAGTAAGACACATCACATCAATTATGTAATGACTGGTTTTACAAACGTATTGTCATTCAATATACAAAAAAGATTATCAATATACAAAAATAATATATAGATAGACTGTCACTATACAAAAAATATGTAAAATAGACTATCACTATATAATTTATATACTAAATAGACTGTCACTATACAAAAAAAAAAACAAAATAGATATCACTATACAAATATATACAAAAAAAACTGTCACTATATAAAAAATATACGAAATACTATATACAAAATAGATTGTCAATGTACAATTTATATACAATAGACTATCACTATACAAAATATATACAAAATAGACTGTCACTTTACAAAAAATATACAAAATAGACATTTCAGGATAGTAGATGTAATATGTTTGGGCCGAAAGGGCATTTCGAGTCAAAAAAAATATGGGCTATTAAAATTTTGAGGGGTTATAGAGCCAGAAATCACTATTGTTTAGCGGCCATTAATTTCTTATAGCTATTGGATCGGTGCATCCACAAATTGTTTAGCGGCTATCACTATTGTTTGGTTAGGGTATTTTAGTATTGACCCGTTTGACATGGATGAAAATCAGGTGGCAATATTTAATTGGATATTTATTACACATCAGATTTGTGTATATACACGCGCTATATTTTATGCACTGGTTTCAACTTTTGTGTTAAAGTGATACATAAAAAATAGAATTGGAGGGCTAAAATGGAACAAGATTGAAATAGAGTGTCAAAATAAAAAATGGGGCCAAGTTGAATGAACTGTATCTGTATTTGGCGAATTCTAAAAGAAAGACTAGCTACAATTTTTGGTAAAAATTGCACGGGGCGCCCTATTTGGTCGCCCCCATTTAACTTATACCTATTTTTTTAAATTTTTTTAACTTGTACCCACTTTTTAAATAACTTCATCCCCCTTTCTCCCCCTCCTTCTCCTCTTTCGTTTTCTTCTTCTTTCTGCTGTTGTTGGTGCAAATTATTTTTTAGGTAAAATTTCTTTTACACTGTTGGTGCATAGAAGTTAAAACTTTCTTTTGTACCTTTATATGATTAAAAAAGAAATTATTTCCCATAGTTCCTTTTGTGAGTGGAAACTATGAAGATACCATTGTTAAGTGACGATGTTTTTGCATTTTAATCGTATTACGGAGCTCATTATTTGTTCTCGCAATCAGGGATGATTAATTTGCATTTATTTACTTCTATTTTTTGGGTTGTTTTGATAAATATTATTAAGGTGAAAGTTGTTTCTTGTAAAGCTAAATTGAGTATGTTAGCACATAAAAATTCTTGAGCCCGGTGCTGAGATTTTACCCCAAAAATTTTAACAAACTAGCAAGTTGTTTGATGGATGGATCCCTAGCTTATTTGAGTAGATCCTATTCTAAAGCTAGCTTCCAAATAACTTCAGTTCTAGATCTGAAGTTCGACAGTTACAAAATAAAAACTTCAGCTCTAGAGCTGAAGTTCGCCAGTTACAAAAACAAAAATTCGCCAGTTACAAACAAAAACTTCAGCTTTAGAGATGAACTTCAGGCCCGGCTACTAGAATGCTGAAGTTTTGCGTGATTGCCTTTGCTACTTCAGTCCCGTATGCTGAAGTTATGTGAAAAAGCGGGTACGCTTGCAATTTTTTTTACAAAGCGGACACAAATTAAAACGTGACATAAAAAACGGGTATAGATACAAATGCCCCCAATTTTTGTGGATGCACCGGTCCAATAGCAATTTTGCTGTTGTTACCATCTTATAGAAACTTTCATAAGAATGTTTTTACTTCAAAGATAAAGTAAACCGCCTTTATAACTTTTCTATAACTTATTATCTACAATAATATATATAGCACTAGATTTGATATCATAAGCTAAAAAGAAATTATTGTTAGCAAAACAAAAATAAAGTAATTTTGATCTTGTAAAGATGTAGTAGTCTATAGAGCACCATCAAAGAGTGTGATGGAACTCATCTAATTCCTCCATTTTTAATTAAAGGTCACAAATTTGAATCTTAAGAATGAAGAAAGTGATAGAGAATAATTTTTTGCTCGGGAGACCTTATGCAACACAAATTCAAAATAATTAGGTCAATGAATTTTGAATAAATACTAGGATAACGACATTGTTAATATGTGGATTGACTGATTTCGATATGTAACCTGAATTCATACGCACACAAAAATTTAAAAATTATCTGAATTCATGTTTTATGGTCCTAAAATGCCAAAAAACAAGAAACAATTCTAGCGAATGATGACTACTTTTTGTTAGGAAAAAAAATTATAACCGCACGAAACGAGTATAGATTTACTAGTTTTGAATAAACGAATGAAAAGAAAAAAGTTATTTGTTGAGCAAAACATAAGAGAGACATCAAAGTTTGTATTATCCAACGTGGCAGACCGTGGACCATAAATAGAATTTACAAATGCCTGTGTAGAAAGAGCAGCAACTATAGTATAGAAGAATAACAAACATGGCCGCATTGGGAATGAGCGGTCAGCTTCTTCCGGTGCTTCCCAAAGTCGCTGCCAAACACAATTCTCCGACCAAGAAGTATTCTTGTACTCTCAATGTAGCAGCTACTAAAGTCGAACACCACCAATCCATAGCAACAGTACCATATTTTTGGTCCAAGGTACTCCCTCTGGCAGTTGCAGTGTCGCTGGTCGCTCCCCTGTCTTCTTCGGCAATACCCTTTCTCGACTCCAAATCTTCTTCACTAGCTCCCACAACCCCATTTTCACAATCCAAGAACTTGCCTACCGGACTCGAAAATGGGTAATTTTCTGCACTCCGTATTTTATCATTTTAGCTAATCCTAATCAAGTTTATAATTATGTTGTTATCTGTTACGCCCTTTGAGGAAAGTCAAGTGGGCCATTAAATCTCTCTCATTGTGAAGTCGGAGGATTTTGTATAACTTATGGTAATTAAACTAGTAGTCCAATTATTTTTTTCACTCTCGTGCTATGCATGCTTTGTTTCTTTAATTGGTCAAATCATCGAAGAAATTGGTATCTGTAAAATGGGCTGATCCGTTTTGCTCGTTGCACGGTGCTATTGCGCCATCGATGGAATTTGGTGATCAAACATGTTTACATTGTAAGACTTTAAGCATCTAACCTAAAACTTTAAGGCAGAGGATGGACTGGTCCAACACCTTTATAAATTCATTTTAAAAATAACACAGTCATGTGGGACAATTAGTAACTTAAATTGGATTTTGGTGTTCACGGGTAAACGTGAATATGAACTTACAAGTGTGAGAATATGCTTACTAAATATTGGCTATGATACCTTGTATGACCATTTCATCTAAAAGTTTAAACCTTTTAGGTAAAGTTGTCATATAATTCAACATGATATCAGAGCATATATACTAAGGTTCTGAGTTCAAGTCTCACGTGAATTTCCACGTGCTTGGCCCGCATGTGATGAGACGTGCCAGAGACTAAAGTAAATAAATAAATGTGTCATGCCAAGTGTTTAAATTTTTAAATAAGTTTGTCCTGCGATTCAGTATGATATCAAAAATAAGGTATGAGATGGTGCAACTCTCACAATTACCTCTTCAAAAATAATATCAACATACTAGGGCGAAGAAAAAGAGTAGGCCAGCACATGAGATGCCTATTGTAGAAATCTGTCCCCTCCAACGGTTCAAGTTTTTTTATGTGGTCGTCCACAATTCAATAAGAAGGCACAACTAAGTTAATTTTGTCAACTGCTAGAGGTAAAATTTTGTCATTGTCCGCAGCTTAATGCACGCATTATCCATTATTCCGTTATGTTGAAGGAGTAGAATCCATAAATGATGATTGCAGGAAGATAGTCTAGTTGCGAACCTCCTCGGCTAAGAATGTTTACCAAGTATTGGTACTACTAGTTTGTAGCAGGTACCTCATGTACTCATCCTCAAATATGCTACTGTCACAAAGTCACTTCAATAGACAATGATATAGATTTTTTGGAATTCACCTAGTCCCTTAATGTCTATAGTGTTATTTGGTAATTCCAAATGTTATTTGAATCTGATTTTTTGTAGTTTTAGATACTGTATTAGGAACCGTCGTGTTAATTTAACTCCATAAGTAAAATATGCGATGCACTCCTTGCCTACTTGGTGATATAATGTTGCTAATTTAGCTTGCAAAGTACCATTCTTCTGTTCTCTTGCGTATATACAATTGAGGCAATTATCTAAAGCCAGGCTTCTGAATTAATTAAGGTTTACTTCTTCCATTGGCTTATGGTTTATAATGTCGCCTGCTATTGCAGAAAAATCAGACCTTGCCCTTCAGTTAATCCGGGGTGTGTATCGACAAATCCCCAGTCTTCTTCTTCTGCCTTCCCCTGGATGATTCCTCAAAATTCTACTGGCAATGCTATCATGGTAAAGAAGATGTAGACTTCCTGGACTTCCCATTGTCGATTCGATTTTGTTCTGATACCAAGCAATTGTCTGTCTGTTAAATTCTTCATCTGTTGCAGCAATTGCAGGACGCCATTTTGAAGACGCAGAAGAATGCAAAGATTCAAGTTATTGAAGATATCCCTGATGGTAATCATACTGAAACTAGATGCATCAAACACTGCACTTTACTCAATCGATATGCAATAGATGCCTGAAATGACTAGATAGATACAGATGAAACTGCAAAAAAGATCTCAAAGCGTTCAAATGAAATCAAGATATATTGAATATTTATTTCATCGAACATTGATTAATTAGAATTTAGGACTGAAAAGGAAAAATTCCTGTTTGCTGATGATGGAAACAACTGCATGCAGGAAAATATTTGCAGGCTGAGGTAGATGGGGGATTTGGTAGAGATGTTCTAGAATTTTTGGTGAAAGGAGATTCAGTTGCCTACAGAGCAATGGCCACAAAAGTGACTTATATATACCCATTTACTACAGCATTAGGAGATTCAAAAGGACAAGAAGAAAGAATGAAAAAGATCACAGAAGAGTTGGGCTGGTATGCACCAAGTCTTGACTCAATGGATTAGAATTATGATGTATATAAATAGCTACATGCACTAAGTTTTGTAGAGCAACTTGTGCACAGCGTAAGCCTTAATCAAAATAATTGTTTTTTTGTCCTGATCATTCATAAAAAAAAATTCTGCTATGTATCCTGGTTGGCACGCCACTTCTGCTGGGAAACAAATTGGACAATCTAGGAGTTTCTTTCTAAGTGTTATGATTTCATTGTTTTGTTATGTATAGAACTACTAGCAGAGCAATAGTCCATCTGTATCAATGAGTTAGTTTCTCTTTCTATTCTTTAGCATCCAAGGGTGTGGCTAGCTAAGTTGCTCGGACTCGGTTGTAGTTATCCGATACGGGTGCGGATCTATAGGTTAAATCCTTTATGATCCAAATTTTAAGATTAGGCGTACGTATCTAGCTACGGATACGGGTGCGGGGATTTGACTGAAAGTAATTTAAATATCTAAAAATTGAGTTATAAAAATATGTCTAAATTATGAGATATTATGTGAAAAACTTATGTGGTGCTTGTAGCGAGCAGGAAAAGGACTACAAGTTCACTAAACATAAGAAGTGAAGAACATTAACATTTGAATGAAGCTAATAAGATAACAGAAAAGCATTTCCTAACAATGATTGAGTAGTTTCTTTTTCTATCCTAATGCATAGGATGCTTCTGGTGTTGGAACTCAAATTTCTTTTGTGATTATTTGACCTCTTATTGCTCAAAAATAAGCATCAAGAGGAACACAATTACACAGTTATAGCTAATGATTTGCAGCTCTTTTTTTTTTTTTTGGGAAAAGTACTTTATGGCAGTTAGGAGATGCGGTGAAAGTTTTGATATATTTTAAAAACTAACAATTTGACATTACTTGTTGAAGTGTGTGACCACATATACGAGTTTGCTTTTTTTTTTTTTAATGAACCAACTACGTGAAAATTCATTGACCTCTACTTACTATGCTCTCATTGTTAATTGTATGATCATCTCATCTGAAAGCTCCATAACAACCTTATAGGAGCTCATGCAAGTAAAAGCTTTGCTCCAGAAGAAAAGGAAAAACATTATAAGTTATTCACTATGGTTTTGAAGTGGTCCAGTGATCTTACACTCAATACTTAAAGAAACCAAAATTTCTGGCAGTAGTTGCAGTTTTAATGAAAAGGCCAAAGCTGTGTCAACCAAAAATATTATAGCAATTGGTCCTGGAGTTATCGTGGAACTGACTTATCATGAAAAATTAAATTTTATCAAGTTATCTTTACAAAATCAAAGGGTATTTCAACATCAAAAATTGTAGTATCAATTTCTAAATCAAGATGTTTAGGCAACTCGATATTACATAAATTGCGTCAAATATTGCTCTGAGATGAGATATATAGCTCTCCTGCGATTCAATGATCAAACACATATCTTGCTCTGTGATGTTTTCTCGCTAACAAAATTGATTTTAGCAGCAACCACCACCAAAGTTTGAAATCAACTTCTGTTAATGCTCGGGGGCTTCAAAGTTTATATTCTGCAGCTTCAGTCTCCTAGAAGCTTCTGTTTTTTGGATGTGTTCATGTAAGGCCTTATGACCCACTCTGTTTGAGCTTCATCCTGATCCATTGTTCCTAGTTTTATCTACAGAAAGGAAACAAGTAACTTGATCAGACACGACAGATGGAACGCTGATCAAGACTTTCAGCAAAACCAAAAGATATCACATGATGCTAACATAGCACGAAAGCTGTACATTATGTAATTGACATTCAATAAAGAGACAACACAAGCACTTGGAAACTTGCTATGGAAGAAAATCATGCATCTCGATGAGGCCATTATGTTCGACCATGTTATACTTTAAAATGGAGAGAATGATCTATTTAGAATCAGAAACTGTTAGGCACACAAAAGTTGAACTACACTGTAAGATGTAAATAGTATGAAGCGCTACTATTATCTTACATCAAATCATAAAATCAAATTGGATGTAAATTATAGAACTTTCAGAGATTAGAGGTAGATTAACTACTATATGGAATATGTTCTACCATATTTTTGGCCTGAGCTGGGTTATGCCACAGAATATGAGACAGGCACACATTAGTTGGAGTTTGTGGAAAGTTTATGGCCATCAAGAAAATCTGGTTGATGATTCCTACAGCTATTTTTTGGTGTTTATGGACAAATAGAATAGAAGATGTTTTGATGGCATCTCAATTCCAAATCACTCTCTCAAGGCAAAATGGCTACTTGAACTTTTTTGCAGTTTTGGGACTTTGTTAGTACTCTTGTCCTAGATTGACACTTTGTATAGGGTGCTTCTCTCTTTTGTTTTTGTCTTTTGTAACTAGGCCTTCTGTAACTATGTAAATATGCATTTGCATGATGCCTTTTTTTTTTTTTTTTTTTTTAATGAAACACCTTACTTCATAAAAAAAAACTACTACTATTATCTGGCACCAAATCAGAGAACTGCGAAAAAAGAAATATCAAACGCGGAGTTTGATATGTTCTTTCCTAACTTCAACCGTCCTCCACAATATCAATTTCAAAAGCGGAATCTTTAAGACCAAAACAATGATGTTAAACAATATGACAAATTTCACAAACAAGAGAAATAGATAGTTTCAAGTATCTTGAGTCTATAATCTAAGGCAATGGGGAGATTGACGAGAATGTTACTCATCATATTGGAGCGGGGTGGGTGATATGGAGGCTAAGTTCGAGGGTTTTGTGCGATAAGAATGTGCCACCTAGATTTAAGGGCAAGTTCTACTGGGTGGTGGTTAGACTGACTATGTTGTATGGAGCTGAGTGTTGGCCCGTCAAGAAATCCAATTTCTTGAAGATGAACGTAGCTGAAATGGGGATGTTGATATGGATGTAAAGACATACAAGGAAAGACAAGATTAGGAATAAAGTTATTAGGGACAAGGTGGGAGTGACCTCTATGGAGTACAAGTTGTGGGAATGAGGCTGGCAATGGTTCGAGCATGTGAAGAGAGAGACATAGATGCCCGGTCAGGAGGTGTGAGAAGTTGACCATGGCGGGCCCGAGGAAGGGCAAAGGTAGGCCAAAGAAGTATTGGGAAGAGGTGATTAGGCAGGACATGTCATTGCTTCACCTTACCGAGGACATGACCCACAATAGGAAGGTGTGGAGGTCGAGGATTAAGGTGGTACGTTGACAGGTAGTTGTGAGTTTCTCCTAGGCTTATTAGTAGTACTAGTATTAAATCTGTATTCTCTTATTCCTGGTTCTTTATTACTTGTCATGTCATTCGCTTCCATTACCCTATTACATTACTGTTGCTATTGCTTGTTGCTTTATTTTTATTGTTCCTTGAGCCGATGGTCTATCGAAAACAACATGCGATTAAACAGGGTTTGTTTGTTGCTGTTGTTGTTCACAAACAAGAGAAATCACAGATTAATAAACTCATGGAGACAAGGGTCCAATACCACTTACAGTCTAGTTACTTGACATCCATTATCATGATACAGATACGAGAGCCTGCAGCACTTTTTTCTTTTTTTATCATTCCGAAATTTTCTATAAGGAATATGTAGATTTGAAAAATGACAACCCNGTACCAAGCAAGGAGGAAAAGAAGAAGCTGTATATTTGGTAAATGATCAAAACTTAACCTCCTTTTCAACTATCCTCTCTGCCAATCAGAAAAGGCCCTTCTCTTTTTTTCCCTGTAATGCTTAGGTCTATATAAAAGGTTCTTTGACAACACAAAGGATAGCCTAGTGGTAAGGACCCTCCACCTCCAACCATGAGGTTGGTGGTTTGAAACAATCAAGAGAGTAAAGTGGTAAAAGCTACTGTTATATTCCTGGTTATGATATTTAACCAGGATACGCCTTGTCATAATCCATTTGTATTGTCTATTTTAACTTTTTGAGACGCAGAATTATGGTGCATATCATGGATCTTGCCACCTTTCTATTTGTTAGAATATTTCAGGCAAATCCATGTACGCCACCATGACAGAACTAAACAAAGGTTAGCGATTTTCTAAAAGATTCACTATGCTAAGCTTGCCAGAACAAAAGTGTAGAATCTAATGACTGAAACAACTAACAGAGACATCCTTGAAATGATGGACTTTGAAAAAGAAATAAAATGTTACCAAAAAGAAAAAATAATAGAACATGGTCGGGTGCAATCTATTGAAACAGAAGTCAGATATATATCTACTTGTTTAAGGATAGCCAATGCCAAAGATACACTTTACAAGCTTCATTCTGCTCGTATGACACCATTAATTTTTAAGTAATTTAACTACTACAAACAAGAAACTAACCTGAATGAAATGTAGTCTGACTGATTAGCAAATGTGATAATACGTTTTGTATCAGGCTTGGGTACTGGAAACAAATGCTTTAGGATGTTAACTGTCCTCTCACCAAGCTGCATGATCAAAGTACTCCTGGTTAGTATAGAACAGTATATTAGATGCCACACTAAGAATACAAAGACTCCAGACATTCATATATTACTAAAACTTCTAGGATTGGATTGTTTGCAGACATAAGCGACCAAATTAAAAACTCTTGATGTCAATATGTCACCAACTGGGAGCCACTGTGAAGCTATAAACTTTAATATGGAGATAACATAGAATTCTTGTTTCTTTTGTTAATATGCCTAGCAAGTCCATTGGAAATGCATGAAAAAAATGATAGGTTTTACTCTTCATCAAAAAAGGATGTTAGGTATAACCTTTGTTGAAAATTTGTCAAAAATAAGATGTGGGTACGCCTCAGGCATGGTTCCAATAGATTTTTTGTCCTTTATATCATGTCTCGTGACCTGCATGAAAATGGTTGAATGAGGACATCATCTGCACCTCTTCACAGCCAGCATAAGACTTCTGGAACTATATAAGGGAAGAGTAAGACCACTTACCACATTGAGCAATCCAAAGTAGGCAGTTGGACCAAATGGCAGATGGCTAATGATAATACCATCAGGCACACCACGATGCTCATGGACCAAAATTACATCTGTAAAATCATGAGCTCGGCAGGTTTCAATTATTTCTGATATAACCTGCAAAAAGAGGAAAAAGAGACTAAAATGCAAACACATAATAAGTGTATAAAATAGGACTAAATACGTATGCAAGTACATAAAAGTTATGAAGTGCTTAAGCCAAATCATTTTCCCCGTTGAGAAAAAGAAACGTCCAGAAGACGAAGAGTCACAGCAATTTCTTTACAAAAAAAAATATGTGACATCCATTGCCATGTGCTCTCTTCTTTTTATATTCTATTAATAAGTGCGACTGAAATATGTCCTTGCCCTAGTGGAGTAAAATACGGGCCACTTCAATTTTTCTGAAGCAAAGACACAAAGCTGATACAGGTTACTTCAATTCCTTACCTTTTATTTTCATGTAATAGAATGGAGTAGAGACTATTAGAATAAAACAACACAAAAAAAATAATGTCTTCGAGAGACAGCAGAGAGAGCTGCCCAGCTGCCTATACTATTGGCTTGTCCCAAGAAACACTTAACCAAAGTGCCAAACCTTGTAAATTTTGTTTGTGATCAGTAAAACCTTGTGAAATAAACATGCCAATTGTAAAGTGTTCTCCAAAATGCCCCATTTTCTGCCAAGTATAACAGGAGATTGACATATAAACAACAGAGAGAGAGAGAGAGAGAGGATTATCATCGTTCAAACTAGCATGTAGGAGGATCGATCCAATTTCTTCCCTTTTATCTTGATGTTCCTTTATTTTTAAATAACAGGGAGGTATTCCACTTGCTTGTGTGCACCTCAACTAATCCACTAGATGAGTCGAATAAGTCCACTAGTCCATCAATGGAAATTCGATAGAACGCTCAAGTGAGGAAGTCACAATCCATTGAATAAGATCGGCTCAAGGTGATGCCCAACTCTATCCACCAGGGCTTACGAATGGGAAGAAATCACATAAGGTATTTTGCTGCTCTGATGGGATTTGAACCTTGATCTCTCATGCCCGTTTCTTACTGCTAGGCCACACCCTTGGGTGCTGATCTTCCCTATTTTATGCTCAGTAGAAGAACGGACTGACATGGAAAGTAAAACAAGGGAGAGAAGATCAATCTCAAAACTCTAGCATTTAAGATTCTGATTTGTTTTCTTCCCACCAAAGAGGAAGGATTATGTTAACAGGTTTCTCAAAAATCATAGTGATACTACATTTTATTGTAACATATATGATATTCCCAAGTCCCAACCACATAAAGAGCCAAGGTTAAAGGAAGTGAGGAACAGTATCAAAATTGAACTAGTATGCGACAGTGCAAAAACAATTAGCTTCCTTAAATACACATTATCACTAACTAAATCTTCCCAAGTACAATGGAATAAGTTTAAAGAAGGTCAAGTTTCAAGATGGAAAAGCATCCAGTAAAGATTATTAAGCTGACTAAACCCCAGCATTAGGTTGAACATGTCCATGCAGATACAAATATGTACATATACCAATAAGTCCAAACTGTAATTTACACTAAAGGAACACCTCGTCCTATTCTTAGAGACAAAATAGCTCCAATTCTAAATATTATGAAACTCTTAAGCTATAATGCTCCAAAAACCATCACTAGTTAGCTCATAATGCATTAAAGCATCAAACAAGAATAGACTTCACAATAGTAAACCAACCTGACCACCACGGTTCATCCGCTGAGCATTAGGGAACACAATTTTCAATTCCTGTCTCCATACAACAACAGGGGAAAAAATAAAGAGAAGGACAACAAGAGAAATCATTACCTTGAAACAATATATTTATCAAATAAATGACTGATAAAACCGGGGAGGTGGGGGTGNGTCATCAATAGTTGATCGAGGTACTGCATCAACATCATTAAAAAAGATAAAGGACTAGTCCTAGCAAATACATAGCACGTACAACTCAACAAGTAACGTAATTGGAAACCACCTCATCTCCATCTGGAATACTTATCTCAAAAGAACAAAGAGAAAGAAAGAGAGAGCAAGAGAGAGAGAGAGAGAGAGAGCATGACAAAAAATACAGCATTAAAGGAACAATAACTGTAAAGGTTATAGGTTCCAATCGCAGAGTCTTTAACACCAAAAGGCAGTTGTCTAGAGCAAAGAAACTTCCATTCAGGGACTGGCTCTACAACAAATCCTAAAACAACTCCTTTTTTTCTTTTCTTTTTTATTTATTTATTTTATATGGTTGATAAATCAAAATTGAGATCATGGAACTTCTCCTTTCTTCCATAAGGTCCACATAACCCCGGCGGACGACAGCAAACAGCATGTATCTATGTTCCCGAGGGACATTAACTTGCACCATAGGAAGACACCGCCCATTGAATGCCAAAACAACCAAAAAGTTCTGGCAACTTGGCAATGAAGCAGAATGACCTATAGTTGATTTTAGCCAAAAGGCGGAGAAAGGTATTCTAAGTCTGATACTATAAGCTGAAGAAAAAGGTAAGAAATGATCATCCACCACAGGATAGAGAATATGATTTTGAAACATGAGATCCATTTAAGTGAGGAACAATAGGCAAAGGATATGGAGCAGAATATAGAGAAAGATGAAGAAAGAGCCATAGCAGGAATCAACTGGGTTCAAGAAAGGAAAAAGATCGCCATGTTGAACTTCTTTAACCACACAAGGTGCAGCTGTTAAGGAGATAGTTCATGTTTAATGTTTCCACAATTCCTTGGCTCTTCCCTGGCCTTGTGTTTTAGGGTAACAATGACGTTAGGGACAACTTTTCAAGTAAGCCAAGACATTCAAACAGCACAAAGTGTAGGAGGCAAATCATATCTAATATATAATGCATTTCACGACAGATCTACACTTTATAAAGGAGAACTATGCCAAAATTTACATAGCTTCTCTATGATGGGAATTTGATTTTCATAGAAGGTACTCTAATTTTTTGACCTACTGATACTAAGACAAATTATAGGCAGAAGTAAAAGTGAATAAGGCATGTAATCCCCTTTCTCATGCATTTCCGGCATCTAATAATTTCCAGTTTATTTTATGTTCCATATCCTTCTATCATCTGTCATGACACTCCTCATTGCTTCTCTCTTACCTTCCCTTTCATACTCTACAACTATAAAAATTTATATCACATAAGAAGACCAAATAAATTCCTCTTCATGGCATTCAGTCACTTAAGCTGACCAATGTTCCACAATTTTCAATCAACAAAGCACTATTTCTCCAAGCCTATAGATGTTATAAAATTGCATAAAGTGGATGAAGTTTGAGACGTTTTATTGACTCAGCTAGGATTTGAACCCTTATATCCCACGATTCATTTCAGCTTCATTGTACATTAAGTCACACCCTTGGTGTTAATATTTGCCACAAATCCATATTTTGGCCTTCAAGTTATTTATATCAATCATTTTAAACAAATTCCAGTAAACATGGCACTTCTTTTCCTATTCTAGACATCTTCCATTCCCAATTCAATCAAGTATACCAAATAACCAAGACATGTAGCAGGATCCCAAAACAAGGGCAAAAGCAAAAAGGGAATTAACATACCAGCAGTATTTTCATCTTCAAGGTCGATTTCTTTGCGAATAGCAGCCTCTTCATTCCTGAGCTCAGTTGGAATCGGTTTTCCCTCTGAAATCGTTAATAAAGAAGGTTAAAAAAGTTCAAAATTTTTGTCATTTATTGAGTGTGAAAACTAACCCTCCAAAGCTTCTTTGATTTTGCGTTTCTTCTCATAGAGCAAACGCTCCTTCCCTTCTAAGCTTTTCCTGTAAAGGTACTCTCTTCGCAACCTAATGTTCCTTCTATGCATGGCTTCCAAGTCGTTTTCGAGATTTTCTGGTAGTAGGGTTTAAGAGTAGGGGAAATGGTTTTGTATAATCTTCAGATAGCATAGCCGCAATTTGGCATTTGCAGTACTTCTATATTAGGTAAAATTCCTGTTGTATCCCTGCCACCATAATTTTGCCTGCTTCAGCCTCCTGCTTTGTGCGAAATTCGCCCATTTTCTCCTCCTTTGTCGCTTAACCCTTGTGGTACTTTTTGCTTTCATAAATTGAATACCAATTTCTGGAATATAACGTGATAATTTAATAGGAAATTGAGGTTTTGGCTGAATTTTTTGCAGTTTCATATTTGTTCCACTAAGATAATCACATGATTGAAAGGTTAATTTTACTGTTCTATTTCTTCACCTTCATATGGGTGACTGATTATTTTGTTTCAGGGTTCTTATTAGTTTGTTGTTCCAGTTTTTGTTGTTTGTGAAACTCAATCAAATGCTTCAAAAGAAAATGATTATCCAACAATTTTACATCTTTCTTTGTATTTGAAGGTTTTGTCATTTTTTAAATTGGGGATTCAGAATGGACAGCCTCTAACTTTCTTGTTTTTGAGCCACAATTCTAAATCTACTTCTGTTCCAAAAAATCCAAAATAATCGAAATTCGATTTGGATTTGCCCAAACTATGCACACCGCTATTTATGTTAGTTAAGAGAAAGACCATTTAGGTAGTTTTGCACCCACCGCTTACAACTTATTTAGATTGTTGTTACATGTCGTTTTATAATGTATAGTATTGTATTGTATTGCATTGTATTATTTAATAAATACAAAGTTTGTATTATTTGCCGTCATTTCATGATGTTACGCACTAACAATATGAAAAATTAACTTGTAATATTACAAGAAAAAAATAGGACACGGAGTAAAATTATTATATAAATAAGGCAAATGATAAAATATGATTATTTAATAATAAGGACGTGCAAGATGAGAGAAAAAAAATAAGGAAACGACAGCACTACATTAAAATCCGTAGTTTCATAGAGTGACACTTTTCGTCGTTACGTAACAATGGATTTAACGATAAGATACAATAAAATTTAAGTAACAATCAAAACAAATATTATATTTAAAGTAATAATACGATACAATACAATAGGTAAACAACCATCCAAACAAGCTATTAATTTTGCTCTGCTTCACCATCTTACTTTCTACAAAATTCGCCCATCTTCTCCTTTGTCGTTTAACCATGTAATTTTTACGGTGCTTTTTTGCTTTCATGTGGCCATACTGTCCAAATGCCTAGCCTAATATGTTCTCTTGCCACTGATAGCTTTAACGCATGCCCAGTATATGTGTCCAACCTGATTGATTTCTAATCATTAAGTTTATATATAACTGGTTACTTATACCTTTTTCTTGTTATGAGTCTATGCCTTAAATTCTTGTGAGGAATTAATTTATGCCCAGAATTTGTCCAAATAAACTACTTTCCTGTCAAGTCCTTCATGTACAATATGCTATTTTCTTAGAGTCAATTCATGAGGAACCTATATGCTAATACCATCCCAACCAGGTCTTTTTGTTGTTTGTAAACTCTAATGTCATGCTATCACTCTATGCTCACTGATTGCCTAAGACTACTAGGAGGAATCTCATCATATTCAACTTATTCTCCCTATATGGTCAACTGGATAGTCCTAATGCATGTTTGACATGTTAGTCTGGAGTTAATGTGTCTTCCCACCATGATACCTTTGGACTTGGGGATCTTTGTGTTACACTCATCACGATTAGGTTTTCTATTGATTGTTTGCTTGTCTGTTTGTTATATTGTCATTCCCTAACTATGACTCTATTTGACCTTCATAAATTAGACTCCTTTTAAGGCTAATTATGGACCATGCTCTATTATGAACTCATTTGGCATGTGCATCTTGTATATGTTTACCATGTAGCCCCAAATGACCTGTTTACCCTAACTCTCTCTCAATGTGTTGTTCATGCTCAGCATACTATCCCCTGCTAAGTGATTGAATCCGTAATGTTAGTTTGCCATATCAAATTTGCCATGTTAAAGCTAAGCGCTGTTGATTCTCTTAGTTTTCATGTTCTTTTGTTTAATCAATCATGTCATGCTTGCTTCTAAAATACACTTTCCTGTAAATTTTGTTATCTAGTCGCTGTTAGTAGGTCCCAGAATCTTTTAAGTGATTATTTTGTGTGGTTTGTTAGTTTGGACATTTGGGCCAATGCCGAGCCGGTTCCGATGCTTGTTATACATGTGGACATCCAGGGCATATGATGCGAGATTGACCAAATAGAGATTCTGGGGGTATGGCGCAACCGACAAATTTAGCAACAGGATCAGCTATGTCTGTGCATCCTTCAGGGCACGAGTCTCAATCTTCGGCTGGTAGAGGTCGAGGCAGAGGTAGAGGGTCCAGTTCAGGTGGTAACCAGAATCGTATCTATGCGCTAGCAGGTCGACAGGACTAAGAGTCCTCACCAGACGTTGTGACAGGTATGTTGACCATTTGTTCTCACGATGTTTATGCCTTGATAGACCCAGGATCTACTTTAACATGTATTACCCCATTTGTCACGAGGAAATTTGGTATAGTGCTTGAAATACTAAGTGATCCTTTTGCGGTATCTACACCATTCGGAGAATCAATTATCGCTAGATGCGTTTACCGAGGTTGTACGATATCAGTTTGTGGTCATCAGACCTCAGCCGACCTAGTTGAACTAGAGATATTGGATTTCGATGCTATCATGGGCATGGATTGGTTGGCAGCTTGTTATGCCACAGTTGATTGTCGCGCAAAGACAGCTAGATTTCATTTTCCAGGTGATCCAGTCCTTGAATTGGTAGGTAATACAGCGACACCTAGAGGCAAGTTTATTTCCTATCTGAAGGCGAGGAAAATGATCGCAAAAGGGTGCATTTATCATATTGTGCGAGTTAAAGATGCAGATGTTGAGATACCTACACTTCAGTCTATTCCAGTAGTAAAGGAGTACACAGATGTATTTCCAGATGAACTTCCAGGTATTCCTCCAAAGCGAGAGATTGATTTTGGCATCGATTTGCTTCCGGGGATGCAACCAATTTCCATCCCTCCGTATAGAATGGCACCTGCCGAATTGAAGGAGTTCAAGGAGCAGATAAAAGATTTACTGGACAAAGGTTTCATTAGACCCAGTACCTTACCATGGGGTGCACCGGTACTATTTGTACGGAAGAAAGACGGCTCGCTGAGGATGTATATCGATTATAGGCAACTGACAAGGTAACTATTAAGAATAAGTATCCACTTCCAAGGATAGACGACTTGTTTGATCAGTTGCAGGTAGCTAGATGCTTTTAAAAAATAGATTTGAGGTCAGGGTACCAACAGGTCAGAGTTCGGGAGAAAGATATTCCCAAGACAGCCTTCAGGACTCGATATGGCCACTTTGAGTTCCTTGTCATGTCTTTCGGGTTGATGAATGCGCCTGCCATATTTATGGACTAGATGAATAGCCTATTTCGGCCATATTTAAACTTGTTCGTGATAGTCTTTATTGACGATATTCTAGTTTATTCACGTTCAGAGGATGAGCATGTGGACCACCTGCGAGCGGTACTCCAAACCCTCAGAGATAATAAATTGTATGCTAAGTTTGCTAAGTGTGAGTTCTGGTTGAAGTCTATAGTATTCTTGGGGCACATTGTATCCGATGGAGGTATAAAGGTAGACACTTAGAAGATTGAGGCTGTGAAATCCTGGCCTAGACTTACCACTCCGATAGAGATTCGTAGCTTTCTAGGCTTAGCATGATACTACCGGAGGTTTGTAGAGGGTTTTTCTTCTCTTTCAGCACCATTAACAAAGCTGACGCATAAAGCGACTAAGTTTCAGTGGATAGAGGCCTGTGAGTAGAGTTTCCAAGAGCTTAAGAACAGGTTGACCTCAGCGCCACTTCTAGCACATCCAGAAGGTCCAGATGGTTATGCCATGTATTGTGATGCCTGAGGTGTCGGGTTAAGATGTGTCCTGATGCAACATGGGAAAGTAATTGCATATGCTTCAAGGCAGTTAAAGAAGCATGAGCGAAATTATCTGACCCACGACCTCGAATTAGCTGCGGTTGTTCATGCACTTAAGATATGGCGGCATTATTTCTATGGTGTTCATGTTGATGTGTTCACAGGTCATAAAAGCCTGCAATATATCTTAGAGCAAAAAGAGTTGAATTTGCAACAAAGGCGATGGCTTGAGTTATTGAAAGATTACGATATTACCATTCTTTACCATCCAGGGAAAGCTAATGTTATAGCAGATGCCTTAAGTCGTTGATCTATGGGTAGCTTAGCACATGTAGAGGTCGAGAAAAGACAATTAACAAGAGAGATTCATCAATTTGCTTGTTTGGGGGTTCGGTTAGTAGACTCTGGCAATGGAGGAGTTGTACTCCAAAATATTGCAAAATCATTTCTCATAGCTGAAGTAAAGGAGAGGCAGTACGAGGATCCAGAGTTAGTCAAATTGAGAAAGCGGGTTCCATAATCGAAGAAGCTGTTGTTAGAACTCAAAGGAGATGGGGTTCTCAGATACAGGGGTCATTTGTGTGTTCCAGGTGTAGCAGGGCTACGAGACAGGATTATGTCAGAGGCACATTATTCATGGTATTCCATTCACCCTGGGTCGACAAAGATGTATCATGACATTAAGGATGTGTATTGGTGGAACGATATGAAGAAGAACATTGCTGAGTATGTCGCTCAATGCCCTAGTTTCTAGCAGGTGAAAATAGAGCACCAAAAGCTCGGAGGGCTAATGCAGACTATAGAGATCCCGACATGGAAATGGGAGGCGATAAACATGGACTTTATCGCAGGTTTACCTCGTTCCCATCATAAGTTTGATTCCATATGGGTGATAGCCAACAGGCTCACAAAATTATCTCATTTCCTACCGGTTAGATCTATATATATAGTAGAGGATTATGCAAAATTATACATTAAGGAGATAGTGCGACTACACAGAGTACCCGTATCTATTATATCTGACTGTGGGGACATATTCACAACACATTTTTGGAGGTTATTTCAGAAATATCTAGGGACTCAAGTGAATCTCAGCACAACCTTTCATCCACACACTGATGGACAGGCCAAGCGCATGATTCAGACGCTCGAGGATATGTTACGATCATGTGTTCTAGATTTTAAAAGAAGTTTGGATGAACATCTACCTCTTATCGAGTTTACATATAATAACAGTTATCACTCCAGTATCCAAATATCCCCGTATGAGGCTTTGTATAGGCACAGGTGCATATCTCCTATAGGGTGGTTTGATGTTGGAGAATCTGGGTTACATGCGCCAGGCCTGGTTCAGCAGGCCATAGAAAAAGTAAAGCTTATCCGGTAGCGACTGCTGATAGCTCAGAGTCGTCAGAAGTCATATTCTGACGTGCGGCGATGAGATTTAGAGTTCAGGGTTAATGACTGGGT